AGCTGGGTGGCATCCGACTCAGCCTGGGCACCGGTGAGGAGGAGGGGTCCTGGGGGTGTCCCCAGTGTCCCTGGGTGTCCCCAGTGTCCCTGGGTGTCCCCAATGTCCCTGGGTGTCCCCAGTGTCCCTGGGTGTCCCCAATGTCCCTGGGTGTCCCCAGAGTTCCTGGGTGTCCCCAGTGTCCCTGGGTGTCCCCAATGTCCCTGGGTGTCCCCAGAGTTCCTGGGTGTCCCCAGTGTCCCCGGGTGTCCCCAGAGTTCCTGGGTGTCCCCAGTGTCCCTGGGTGTCCCCAGTGTCCCCAGAGTGTCCCCCAGCTCCTCGGGGTGTCCCCAGTGTCCCCGGAGTCACGGCTGGGGGTGACAGGGTGCTCTCTCGGCAGGGAGCAGCTACGGGCTGCCCGTGGGCTGGATGGACTCGACGCAGGAGGAGCAGGGGGTGTGGAAGCAGCTGCTGCAGCAGCCTGGGCGCTGGGTGGAGGCTCTGCTCCCCCTGAGGACCAACCTGGTCCCCCGGGTGTAGCCCCCAGGGAGCAGCTGGTGCCGGTGGGACTGAGGGGTCTGAGGGATGGGGACCTGGGACTGTGCGGGCTGGGGTCTGTGCCCTCCTCTTCCAGCAGCAATGAAGTGGCACCAGAGGGAACATCTGGCAGCTTTTCCTTGCTCTGGGCACATCTGGTGGCCATTTATTTCACAGGCCACCATACCCCGACTTCTCCCTCCACTGTGGGGCTGCAGCTGCTGCGTCCCACTGCTCCCAGTGTGGGGCTGTGCCCTCCAGCACCGGCCTTGTCACAGCCCTGGCTGGGGTGAGGGGGTCACTGCTCTGGGGGATGCCCCTTTTCCCACTGGGATACCCCACACTGGGCTGTCCTGTCCCTCTGGGGCACCCACCTTGGCTCCCTGGCACTGGGCACTGCAGTCACCTGGGGCCACCCACCAATTCCACCCTGGGGCCAGGAACAGCCAAATCCCCAGAGCTTCTTCTGCAACCAGAATCTGCCAGGACAGCCCCCTCCACTGGGGCTTTGGGGGGGCAGGAGGTGGATGACAATGACAATGACACCAGAAATTACAGGAAAATCCTTTATTGGTTTCTGTCCCCCCTGTTCCAGCTCGGGCTCTGCCTGGTGTGGGGCTGGGGCCAGCAAAGGGTCCCCCTCTGCCACCCACGGCCGCGTGTCCTCTGATTCCTGGGTGCCCCTGGCCTCCTGGGCATCTGGCAAGCGCAGGGTGGGGCTGCAGGTGGAATTCAGGGTGGGATGGGCCCCCCCTGCCCCCCCTGCATCCCCTGGGAGCAGCCCCGGGCAGGCCCGGGTGACAGGTGCCACCCCGCTGTCCCCAGCTTTGCATAGTCGTGGTGTGGCCGTGCGGGGGGACGGTCCGGCTGCGCAAAGGTGACCCCAGCAGGGGCCTCTTCACCCGGGGAGGACGGGGCCAGCGACCCCCCCAGCCTGGAGGCTCGGGGACCTCAGATCCTGGTGCATTAGACAGAGAGGAGACACGAAAGGTCCTGGGGGCTCCACCCTGGGGGTCCCGGCCCCTTCAGCCCCACAGGTGCCGGGGGTGTCCCAGTGCCCACCCCCACCTCGGGAAGGGTTGGACTCGGGGGGGGGTCCCTGCAGCCCCCAGGCACAGCAGCCCCCGACACGACGCAGACACCGCCTGGCAGAGTTTAATGGGGGCAGCCTGAGCTACAAGTGTCACCCCACGGCACACGACACGCAGCCCCCTCCCCAAAAGAGCACACAGAAAGAGGGTGGGGGAGAGGGGCCCCCCAAGCCCCCCCAGAGCACACAGAGGCACAGCAAAAGCACACAGCAAGGCCCTGGCCCCGCTCCTGCGGTGGGGGCGGGGGGCTGGGGGGCTGGGAGGTGGCAGGGCATGGTTGGGTGCTCCAGACACAAAATGTGAGAGGGAAAAGCACCCGAGAGCCCCGAGGGGAAGAGGGGACCCCCAGCCCCAGGAGGCTGGAGGCTGTGGGGAGGCAGCAGGGCAGGGGGCAGTGGGAAGGGGGCTCCTGGGTGCTAACTGGGGCCAAACTGGGGCCAGACTGGGA